GGTATTTGAAAGAGCCTTTTTTTCTCTTCCTCTCTGAGCCTTTGTAGTCACATAAATGCATTCTCAAAACTTGCTACTTAACTAGCTGTGTGACCATAGATGAAATTTCTCACTTTCTTAGCTTTTTCACTTATAAAATGAGTATAAAATACCTAATAAAGGTTGTCATGAGGGTTAAAGATGTAATGTGGACAAAGTTCCCAGTATAATTTGTGGTGCTTAGACATTCAAGTTGTGATTATGTATATATTTGTTTTGATGTATTTCAAGTGCTACCATGTTTTTAAAAAACAGACTGACTTTGTTAACTCTAGAAAATATCAGTGAATAGAAAATATGGGAAGGAACATGTTTGTTTACTATAATGAAGAACTCTGTAAAAGCTTTCTTAAAAAAATAGAAGTGGGCCGGGCGCTGTGGCTCACGCCTGTAATCCTAGCTCTTGGGAGGCCGAGGCGGGCGGATTGCTCAAGGTCAGGAGTTCAAAACCAGCCTGAGCAAGAGTGAGACCCCGTCTCTACTATAAATAGAAAGAAATTAATTGGCCAACTGATATATATATAAAAAAAAAAAAAAAAATTAGCCGGGCATGGTGGCGCATGCCTGTAGTCCCAGCTACTCGGGAGGCTGAGGCAGGAGGATCACTCAAGCCCAGGAGTTTGAGGTTGCTGTGAGCTAGGCTGACGCCACGGCACTCACTTTAGCCTGGACAACAAAGTGAGACTCTGTCTCAAAAAAAAAAAAAAAAAAATAGAAGTGAACACTTAAAAATGGAGATACTCACTGAGATAGATGCAGAGTGACCACTTATGGAGATGCCACTGAAGGGACTGCTAGCTTCACACAGTTAAATAGATCATCTCTGAGGTCCCTTTTAACTCTGAGATTCTGACATGCTCATGGGAGGACCCTAATTAGTGATTTGATAATAATCACTGGAAAACCATGGTTAAGGAAAAAGTTGTGTGCATCAGTCAGTATTTCTCAGGTCGTACTTCCTGGCGACCAGTTAGAAAAAACTCAACCAGAAAAAATTAATTCCAGACTATCCAAGAGATCATTAGAGAGCGTTTGGCCCTTACTTCAACCCTAAATAAAGTAACAAGAAATCCAGAGAGACCTGTGTATCTTGTATACATCTGAACTCTGTTTTCAATGGCTTTTAAAAACTGAATTATAAAGAAAATTGTCATGGCCACATCTTGTTGTTGCTATTTGAAAATTATTTAATTGATACATATGGCTAAAACTCTCTAAAAATTACTTTTTCTCTTTAAAATTTCTTGAAGCAAGGAGGACAGAGGTGTAATTATATTCCTCAGCCATATTTTGTGTATTTGGATTCACTCTTGAAACTGCTGGTATTTTTCTCCTTGAGTTCATTTTTTTCATAAATTTTAACTCTTGAGCAGTGGTTATGAAAATTAGAAACTGTTTTAAGCTTTTGAAAGCCATCCAATGCTTACTATGTAAAAGGTTTACCGACTTGATTAGATAATATCACAGCACTAATAAAGTTAGTATCATATCATGTGTTATTAATCTTGGCTCAGATGTCCCAAATGAATATATTTGGTTACAAAGAGGTCGTAGCTGGGAGAATATAATTGGATCGGAAAGGAGAAGGAAAAGAAAAAAAAATCCTAATTAGAGTAAACTTTTTGGATATAACATACAGGTGAATTTCTCCTTTTGCTGCTGAGTGAGTGAGTTATAGAAGCATATAAAGATAGTGCAAAGCTGTTTAAAAAATTGGCTTTCAAAAGTCATGATGTCCTACCACAAATGTTTCTGCGTATATGTATAAGAAATAGGCAAAGATAGAAAATACTGCCATATGTTGATATGTTCTAATAAGGAAATACGAAGACCATTTCTAGTTAAGTGTATAATTATTAAAACAGATGAAATCATCACATCTTCAAAGACTATCAACGCCTCATGCCTGTAATCCTAGCACTCTGGGAGGCTGAGGCCGGCGGATTGCTCGAAGTCAGGAGTTCGAAACCAGCCTGAGCAAGAGCGAGACCCCGTCTCTACTATAAATAGAAGCAAATTAATTGGCCAACTAATATATAGAAAAAATTAGCTGGGCATGGTGGTGCATGCCTGTAGTCCCAGCTACTTGGGAGGCTGAGGCAGCAGGATTGCTTGAGCCCAGGAGTTTGAGGTTGCTGTGAGCTAGGCTGACACCACAGCACTCACTCTAGCCTGGACAACAAAGCAAGACTCTTTCTCAAAAAAAACTATCAACGCTATGCACCATTCCATGGTGAAATATTTTAGTATCAAATAGATTTTCTCTGCCTTGGATGTTTACCCTTGTTTTGTTATCCACATATGATTGCCAGACTAATGAAGTAAGTGGTATAGTGAGAAATGCTTTAAATTTTTTAATATGGTTGGATGCAGTGGCTCATGCCTGCAATCCTAGCATTCTGGGAGGCTGAGGTGGGAGGATTGTTTGATCTCTGAAGTTTGAGACCAGCCTGAGCAAGAGCAAGACCCCGTCTCTACTAAAAATAGAAAAATTAGCCCGGCATGATGGCATGCACCTGTAGTCCCAGCTACTTGGGAGGCTGAGTAAGGAGAATGCCCAGGAGTTTGAGGTTGCAGTGAGCTATGATGATGCTACTGCACTCTAGCCTGGGTAGCAGAGTGAGATTCTGTCTCAAAAAAGAAAGAAAAATGTTGAGTATGATAAATAGGTTAATCATTGGTAGTATGCTTTCCTTTTTTTAAATTTTATTTGGGGGGATTGGCTGATATTTTTTAAAAACAAATATTGAGTACTTTTTGTCAGAGTACTGAAGTATATACATTTTAGTGCTTCTAGATTTATATGGTATGAGTCTTAAAATCAAGGCCTTCAAAAGTAAAAACTATTGGCCTGGTGTGGTGGCTCACGCCTATAAGCCTAGCATTCTGGGAGACTGAGGCAGGCAGATTGAGCTCAGGAGTTACAGACTAGCCTGAGCAAGAGCAAGACCCCCATCTCTACAAAAAATTATAGAAAGAAATTAGCTGGACAACTAAAAAAAAATTATATAAAAATTAGCCGGGCATGGTGGCACATGCCTGTAGTCCCAGCTACTCGGGAGGCTGAGGCGAGAGGATCACTTGAACCCAGGAGTTTGAGGTTGCTGTGAGCCAGGCTGACACCATGGCACTCTAGCCTGGGCAACAGAGTGAGACTGTCTCAAAAAAAAATAAATAAATAAAAACTATTAAGTGTTATTCTTAAAGGAATTTATCTAAGTATTAACTTTTTCTGTACCTCCTTCATATAAATAAATCAGGAAAATTATACATTTTAAGGATTAGTTGATATTCTTATCAAAGCCAAATTCAAAGCATTACATTATAGTTCCCTTTGAACAGAGCCATGGAATATCATATCATATATTGCATACTTTTTAAACTATATTAACTAGAGTTTTACCTGTAATTCATGTCTTGGAAGGTTTTTATGTACATATGCCAGGACATCAGTAGTTCCTGTGTGGCCCCCAGGCCAGCAGCATTAGCATCTTCTGGGACCATATTAGAAATGCAAATTCACAAGCCCCATCAGAATTTCTGATTCAAAAACTCTGAGATGGTACCTAGCAATCTGTATTTAATAAGCCCTCCAGGTGATTCTGGTGCATGTTGAAAACTGGAGAACTATTGCACTAATATATGAAATTCTTTTTATTTTCCAAGGGTAAGAAAAATAAAGTGTCTAATTAAAATAAAACTTTTGCATTCCTCCCCAGAGGAAAGGCAGTTTATTATCCTTCCACATGTTATAAACTGGTCTTATCCTTTTCTTCTTTCCTTGGCTGAATATATTTCATCGGACATGATACACAGTTTCAAAGCTTTAACTAGACCTCAGTATTGCATTATAGAGCTCTGAGATGTCAACCAAGAGAATATCATGCCCTCATTTTTGTTACTACTGACGCTGCCAATCATAAAGTGCTCAAATGATTTTCAGTTTATGTCAGCAGGTAAAGAATGTTTAATAAAAGTTGATGGAAGCTAGTTTTTCTCTTGAGATATAACAAGATTGAAAACTGAAGCAGCAAATAACTAATATTTGTATGTCACAGTAACAGCTGGCATATTGAGAAGTATTGAAATGAGAAATTGATCAAGGAGGAAACTTATAATCAAATATAGAAGTAGGCAATGGTAGGAACAAGACAGGACTTCCTTAAAACTCAGGTGAGGGCCCAGTATGGGTTTGAGTAACAGAAAAACCTTATGCTCCTGTAATTATGGGATATTTCAGTAATATTTGTTAAAGCTTAATTTCAAAGAAAGCTTTATAAAGAAAAATTACCAAGATACTGCCCAAATATTAACCTCTAAACTTAAAAAGACCCTGCTTCTAGCAATAGAAAATAACTTTTTACTCATATCTATGTTGCTAACTTAGTGGGAATTTAGTAGATCAACGTTAGCTTTTTCTTCAGTCATACAATAGCCTTTCGTTACATTACTTTATCTAAATACATACATAAACTCTGATATCCTTTTTCTAAGATTTACCATGACTAAAAACCACAAGGTACAAAAATTTAGAATTGCACATGGGTAAGTTACAATAAAGAAATCGCAGGCATCTTTGGATATCTTATTGGAATCAGCATGGAACTTTTTTTTTTTTAATCTGTAGAACTGCTAGCTCATACAGTTGGTTTAAGGACTAGGTAAGGATCTATGTGGGTAATATCTGCCTATATTCTTTATTAATGATATACATTAAAATATATATACTTCATTCTTGCAAGGTTTTGAAGTACTTGGGTTAATTTTAATAACAGGTATATTTGGTCAATAATATATGTTTTTTTCCTTAATACATTGGAGTTTACAAATGAAGTTTAAAGCAGACTAGCACAGAATAGGTTAGACAAAAATAAATAAATAAATAAATAAATAAATAAATAAATAAATAAAAAATAAAGCAGTCAATGATAACTCTAATAACATTTTCTTATTTCAAACAGCTAGTTAAAGGCCTTCAGCAAGAGCTGAATCGATTATATTCCCTTTTCTGTTCTCGGAATCCAAACTTTGAAGAAAAAGGGGGTAAAGTCTCAATAGTGTCCCATTCCTTGGGATGTGTAATTACTTATGACATAATGACTGGCTGGAATCCAGTTCGACTCTATGAACAGCTGCTGCAGAAGGAAGAAGAGTTGCCTGATGAACGATGGCTGAGCTATGAAGAACGACATCTTCTGGATGAACTCTATATAACAAAACGACGGTAAACTATCTAGTCTTTTGAGAGAATTTTGTATGTTTATATGGAATTATTGGATCTTTTAGTAGAAAATATCTCAAGGTTTTCATGGTAAAGAAAAAATACATTGTCCAGGATACAACATTACTAGATAGTATGCCTAATCAAGCTAGAGGCTATTTGTTAATTTTCATGCTAATTACATTTATTTTCCTGTAGTATTAAATAGTTTTGTATTCTCCTTTTTTTTTTCTATCTTTTCTTCACAATTTTTCAGTATTGAAATCTAAAACTTATTCCAAGCTGAGTCATTGTATAGAATTCTTATTGAAAATGTTTACTGGTTTATAATACTTGCTAGTTTTACTGATCTTTAAAAGTATGTCTCTACCTTTCTTATTATTATTCTGAAAATAATTTTTAAACCCTGTTTTTCTTGGCAAATGTATTTTTTACATTTGTTTTTACATGTTATATTTGTTTTTACATGTTACATTTGTTTTTACATGTTATATTTTTTACATGTTATATTTGAACATAATTACATATTATATAATTATAAACAGATTTTATAATCACCTGATTATTTATGGCCTTCCTGATACCATCTTGTAATACTTTGCTACTTTTCTGTCTTCAGCTATAGTTACATGTCTTATCTTCATTGTCCTGTTTAATACTCACTCATCTGATCCATTTCAATAGAACAGTGAAAAATCAGTCATTTTGATAGTTTAGCATTATATAAAGGGGCCAATTTAATTGATTAAAATGTTTACTCAGGAAGCCTCAGTTTTGTTTTAATCTAATAGAACTTGTCTAAGGATTCCATTTAGAATTTTACTAAGTACCATAGGCGAGTTAAATAAATATAGTGTCAAAATAATTGATAGTTTTCAAAGAAAATATCATGTTTGACAAGCCTTGGAGAAGCATTTTAAATTAATAAATCTAGTAAGACTTTTTAAAAAATAGTCTTAGAAAATGAACTGTAGCTTTTTAAAAAAACTTAGCTGAATAGTTCATTAAATTTAAGTAGATATGGAACATTGTAGTGGAAAATGATGAAATAACCCAAATGTTCATCAGCAGAGAAGAGTTAAACTGTGGTTCATCTGTATGATAGTTATACAGTTGTTATAAAAATTGAAGTGGGTCAGGAGATAATAAAATTAAAATATCTCTAAGATTCTTTACTAACTATAGAAAGAGACATAGAATAATGTATATGGCATTAACTGTTTGTTGTAATTTTTTAAAAGGTGTATATATTCTTCTATATGCTTCACATTTTACTTTTAAAAAGCTATTAACGGTAGATATCATGAGGAATAGCGGTACTTTTACTATTACTAATTGTTTTATAGATTTTTATAGACTTTCTGTACTATAGCAAATGCATTTATTTAAATAGTGTCAATGGAGATTAATGTTAGACATGGATAATGACTCATCGTTACTTCTTGACACTTCAGTAAACTAGTAAGCATATAATGTTTATGACATTATAAATACGTGTCTACAATCTCACACCCCTTTCTAGGCTGAAGGAAATAGAAGAACGGTTACATGGATTGAAGGCATCATCAATGACACAAACACCTGCCTTAAAATTTAAGGTAAGAGGCTGGGCGCAGTGGCTAACGCCTATAATCCTAGCACTCTGGGAGGCCAAGGCAGGAGGATTGCTTGAGGCCAGGAGTTCCAGACCAGCCTGAGCAAGAGCAAGACCCCATCTCTACTAAAAATAGAAAAATTATCCAGACGTGGTAGCGCACACCTATAGTCCCTGCTACTTGAGAGGCTGAGGCAGAAGAATCCTAGGCTTAAGCCTAGGAGTTTGAGGTTGCAGTGAGCTGTAATGATACCACTGCACTCTAGTCAGGGCGACAGAGCAAGACTCTGTCTCAAAAAAAAAAAAAAAAATTTAAGGTAAGGAAAGAGCAATGAGTTTTTCATTATTTATCCAGTATTCTTTTTAAACATCATTTGAAACATGCCTTTAGGATTCAAATAAAAGTTTATTGTTCTTTCAGATGAGTATTTATTTAACATATATCATGTGTTGGACACTGCTAGTCTGGATTCTACAAAGAAAAGAATAGATATGACAGTTCCCCAGCCCTCAGGAATACTTGGTATTATTGGTGCTATTAGCAGTATATAGACCATATATATGCACAAGAGAAGGTGGTTTTACTTTTGCCTGCTAAAGGTTTACTAAGGAATGATATTTGTACTTATCTCAGTGAATTAGATATTGCTGAGTGGAAGAAAGGAGAAATGCCATTCTATGTAAAAGGCACAGCATGAACAAAGGCATGAAAGGGTGTAACTTCTTAGGCCCTTAAGAAACACCAAATAATCTGGAGTAGTGGAAAAGAAAAATAGAAACAGATCTGGGAAAGAGTTGTTATTTGGAATTAACAAACCTTCATGACCACCTACTTGGTTAGTGGTGAGAAAAAATAAGAGGAGTATATCAGCAATGATTCCAGGGGTGGAAAGCTGGCATTTCAGTGAAAAGTGTATGACAAGAACACAAGAGAGGGGTGCACATGGTTGGTTTGGAGCTGAGAGAACAAACCAGTTTGGCTAAATGGATAGGGCAAGGGGGCCATGGGAGAGTAGGAATAGCCAGAATATATTTGATACCGCCAGTAGGAAGCTTTTCAGTGTTTTCGAGTATCAGAATAACTTGTTGAAAGTAGTGGCTTAGGAAAATGAAAGGTGGCAGAGAGATGTCAATGTTGACTAGACTGTTGGAAAAGACACATCCTTTAGCTGAATAACAAATAACCTGTTTGCAGTGTTAAATGGGGAGTGTCATAAGTTTCCTAATACCCATTTCCTTTTGAATATATATATGTTCATGTCTATTACATAGCCTCTTCTGGAAATGTGTTTCTTTTATCATAAGAACTTAACACACAAGTTATGATGTGGAATGATGCAGAAATTTTTTTAAAACTGGAAGAGGGTTTTTTTTTATTGAATCTAGATGACTTATAAATTTTTTTCCAAAAAACTTATACATTAATAACCCTATGGTAAGCTATAACATACATTTAAAATCCATAAGAGCATGTTCTTTGGAGTCATCCTAACCTGGAATTTGAGTTCCATCTCTGTCATCATTATCATATAATTAATGCTAAATGTATAGAATTGATCTGGTAGAAAAAAATAAACTCTTCTGTTTCATGTTGTGGGTTTTTTTATTGGAGAGTTGGGTATGATCAACTAAATATATTAGGATCTCAAAATTTAATATTACATTATTAGAACTTCTTATACTATAATTATGTATCTTTTCAGAATATAGCGGTTAGATCTATCACAGATGGCCATTAAACTTAAGAAAAAAAAGAATATTGGCAAACACTGGTATTGGAGTATAGGAAATTTGTGTTCTGATTGTGAGGCTTTGCCACCAACTAGTTATGTGACATTAGCCAAGTCATTTAACATATCTGAATTCATCTGTTTACTCATCTCTGAATAAGAAGATTAGCCTAAATATCTAAACTACTATTTTTAACCTTTAAAATTCTTTAATGGAAGCATGGGTAATATAGAAAGACCCTTGTCACCACAAAATTTTTTTAAAAGATTAGCCAGGTGTGCTGGTGCACTCCTGTAGTCCCACTTGTGCTACTCAGAGACTGAGGTGGCAGGAGGATCACTTGAGCCCAGGATTTCAAGATTACAGTGAGCAGTATTTGGGCCTGGGCAACAGAGCAAGACTCTGTCTATAAAAAAAAAAAGTAAATAAATGAAATAAAATTCTTTGATAGATATAGATATCACTAAAGTGGCCATTACCCTTTTCTGAGAGAGAATAATTTCTTTGTGTGTTTTTCTGTCAAACTACAATTTCATCATAAAGAAAGAAAAGTTGTTTATTCCATGGATATAACAATTTAGCAAATGTTTATAGAATGCCTGACCAGTGCATAAACCAGGGGTCCTCAAACTTTTTAAACAGGGGGCCAGTTCACTGTCCCTCAGACTGTTTGAGGGCCGGACTATAGTTTTAAAAAAACTATGAACAAATTCCTGTACACACTGCACATATCTTATTTTGAAGTAAAAAACCAAATGGGCAAAAACACTGCATGTGGCCTGTGGGCTGTCGTTTGAGGACGCCTGGCATAAAGCATTTTCCTCGGTAGGGTTTGTGTGTGTACACCTGCATACACACATGCTTGTGTATCAAGCAGGAAGAATTTACATAGATTTCTCCTATCTCAATTGTTTTTGTATCTTCCTCTGTTCTTTTTTCTTTCCTCACCTTATAAAAGAAATGACCTTACTCCTTTCAGAAATTGGTATTTTTATGTGTCCCTCTTTATTTAAATGCTTTCTTATATTTTTAATTTTTATTGATACAAGGTCATTTTCCTCAGACTTCAAGCATATAAGTCACCCAATTCTTTGAAAAAATTTTTTTCAAGCCCTCTTTAACTTATAGGTACCCTTTCAAAATGCATGTTCACATATTTTTTCATTTTGAAAAAGAAATCACTCTAGAGGCACTGTGGGATTCAAGGTATGTAAAATTGGAGGCAGGGACACTCGTACAATATAGTCCAGGGGATAGGTGATGAAATGTTAGAATTTGTTAGGTTGACTTACTAGATGTTGGGCATGAGAGGGGAAAATGAATTTGGGATCTCACTCATCAAGATGGGACATATGAAAGGTAGGGCAGATTTAGGATGAAATGGTGTTTTTTGTATATAATCCAATGCTGTTGACCACCCTATTTTTCCATTTTGAAGCCATCCTCCTCCTCCTCCTCCTCCTCCTCCCTTGATTTCCATGATATTGCTTTATCTGGGTTCTGTTTCTTCTTTCACTCTCCTTTCTGTAGCCCTATCTGTTTTACCTGCTAATAAAATGTAGACCTTCCTCATAGTTCTATGTAAAGCCCTCTTTTTATTCTATGCACTTCCTAGGCAAACTTACTTACTCTCTTAGTTTTACATGTCACATCTATGATGGTAACACATAGATTTAGGTGATGACATATCCGATTGTATATCTCTTCCCCTAAATTCTCAGCTACATACTACATGTTACAGATACCTCACACTTACGATGAACAAAAAACAGAACGTTACAATTAATGGAACCACTATCCTTCCAGTCAGCCAGACCCTAATCCTGTGAATTGTCTCTGACACACATTCTCATCCCCAGCTGCATTCAATTACATTGATTCCACCCTATCCTCTTACATTTCCATGTCTGAATGAAACAGTTTGTCCTGCCTAGTTCAGATTATTTCTTGCCTAAATTATTTCAGTAGATTCCTACTTTGTCTCCAGGTCACCAGTCTGTTAATTTTCTAGTTCATCCACACACTATTACCAGGTCTAGCTTCTAAAATATGGGGCAGATCCTGTCCTCCTTCACTGCCTGTGAAATAAGTCCAACTTTCTTATTCAATCAAGGTTCTGAATATTATCATTCTAAGCTACCTTTTCTCCACATCCAATTTTTCAGCCATATCAGACTATTTCTATTCTCAAAAATAAGCCAGCTTCTTTTCTGCCTTGACTTTAATTCACGTGGTTCTGTCAGTCTGGAATGTCATTCTTTCTAGCCTCAATGTCCTAACCTCAACTGTGAAAATCCTTTTCATTTTTTACTGGCCAATGCCAATACTACCTGAGGCTCTGTAAAGCCCTCAGAGTTGGAATTAATTATTCTTTTCTTCACTGTCTTCTAGCACTCTTTCCGTCTGTTATGCACTTATTTCATTCTGCCTCCCCCACAGGATTGTAAACTGCAAGCAGAAGCTCTGCCTTATTGGTCTTTGTATCCATCACAGCACTTAGCATATTACTTCACACAAAATCTTTGATTAGTGTATGGAAACACACAATGAAATGATCTTTATCCTCCTCCTCTTGTTATTCTTCACTTCTATTAGATTTAAAGATAATGAAATTGTTCCTGGAAATAGATTATTCTAGAATGGTTAATGGTTGGCATATAATTAACAAATAATGCAGATACCATCTGGACAAAGCTCATTGAAAAAAGACAAATATATTTAAAAATAATTTAATTATTTGTATTTTACTATAATGTTATGCCCAAATTTGGTTGAAAAATTAACACTTCACCATTTTTAAAATTTAGGATGACTTTGTTGTCATTTTAGGTTGAGAATTTCTTCTGTATGGGATCCCCACTAGCAGTTTTTTTGGCATTGCGTGGCATCCGCCCAGGAAACACTGGAAGTCAAGACCATATTTTGCCTAGAGAGATTTGTAACCGGTTACTAAATATTTTTCATCCTACAGATCCAGTGGTGAGTTGCAATATAAACTTTGTTTTCTACATATTAAATTGTTCATAAAAGAATCCGTGAGAAGCCTTGCAAGGTACCATTGAATTAATGAGAAAGAATTCATTTATCTGATTATTAAAACACTTATGTTTTGGTTAATTTAAGGGCTCATGAAATAAGATACCTTAGAGATGATCTGTTTATGTCGTACTTGTAATATAAGAACATAATGTAAATACATTTATCTTATCTCTAGACAATTAATACAAGAGACAGGAGTCTACTGGACTTTCAAACCGTAACAATTTGTAATACCAATAATCTAGCAACCATAAATCTTAAAAATACCACTTTAAATATACTCTTCTTTAAAGCATACTGTAATATTGAAATGTGTTTGTAGATCCTCTTAAAAATGAAAATATTCAAATATATTTTAAATATCTAGAAGGGGTAGAACTGTTTATTTTAGCCTAGTAGGATTGATTGTAAAACGTTGGATTTTTCCATACTCTATCATGTTTGTGCTGTAAATACTTTTTTAATGTAAGCACTTCAGGAATTTTTGCATCCATACAAACAGCATAATGCCAAGTAAGATTTTTAGATAAGAAAAATGCTTCCTTAAATTCTTTTTGGGACAAGGCTAGGTTGAACTAAATGCTAAGATAAACTATTTTAAATAGTTCTGAAAAAATAGTTTTATATAATTGTGTAAAGTCTTTTGAAGGATGTTTTTAGCTAATAGCAAAAAAATATTACCTTGACTAATGATTAGAATTTTAGGAAATTTCCCACATGTTAAAGACTCACAACTGCTGTATTTAAGAAATAAACCACTGAACTGGAAGTCTAATATTGGATTCAAATACGTACTGTACAATCCTGGCCAAGTCACTTATGAGACTGAATCTTATCTGTATGGTGTAGATAAAATTTTACATCCTAGGGTTGTTAGGATTAAGTAAAATATGTGTGAAAACACCCAGCAAGACAATAAGTATTTAATTAATATACATTCATTGCATTTATTCTCTCATAACTTGAAAGTAAATTTGAGTTCATAGGTGAACTCTGAGCCCTTTCCTTTGTACATGTTAAACTTTGTTGTATTGTAAAGGAAGATTCTAAACTCATAAATTTTAATTATTCATTTCATAGTTTTTCTGTAATTCTTTTAATGGTTTATGTCAGAACTCTGCAAAGCAATTTTTACAAATGTTATCTGTTCTTCCTCACATGTCTATATGGGAGAAAGTGTTACCTCCTTTCTACAGCTTAGGAAACTGAGGCTTTAAGAACTTGTAACCCGACAAGCATCATATAGTTAATAAGTGACAGAAGCCATAATATGAATTTGGAGAAGTCTCATGCCATATTCATTGCTTTTTCTGCTGTATCATCCCTACGTCACATTAGACAAATGGTCTTAATGTTGGCATCTAATTTATGCTGTTACCATATGAATCTATTTGAAAATAGAGTTTTTAATAAGAGCTCCTAAAATGTTAAAAATTCATCTTATTTGCTGTTTTCTAGATTACCATCTATTATTAATACTTCAGCTTTCTTTGCTTGTGAGACCAACATAAATATAATTGTTACATGATATCAGAACATAATAAAAATTAATCTATTTCTCTGAAAAACTAATTAATAGTATTAGCCTAGACTCTTTTTCATAATCTCATCAGCCACATATTATTAACAGTGAACAAATAGAAATACGTTGTTGAATTATCCATTGTTTTTTTATTAAATTTCTTCTCTAAGGCATACTTAACATACAACAGAATAAGAACAATTTACTAAAATCTATGCATTGTGTCTTAATGTTGTGTTTCTTTGAATTTTTTTTTAAATCAAGGCTTATAGATTAGAACCGTTAATACTTAAACACTACAGCAACATTTCACCTGTCCAGATCCACTGGTACAATACTTCAAATCCTCTACCTTATGAACATATGAAACCAAGCTTTCTCAACCCAGCAAAAGAACCTACCTCAGTTTCAGAGAGTGAAAGCATTTCAACCATACCAAGCCCCCTGACCTCACCAGTCTTGTCCCGCCGACACTATGGAGAATCCATAACGAATATAGGCAAAGCAAGCATATTAGGTAATGTCTCTTAAGTATTCTTTATCTATGAATATAAATACTTTTTGTGTAGACATTAAATTTGGGAGACTTGGATATATTCTGTGTATTATAAAACTTCCAGCAATTAATCCCTGTGTCTAGAATTTACTCTTTCACTGTTTATATTTGAGGACTAAAACGCACTAAAGTTCTCTAATTAGATCAAATCCTATAGTTTTAAAGTATGAGATAGCTAGATGAACCAGAAAAAAGCATTATTCTGAGAATCAAGTCCCTCATTTTAATCTTGGTTCTACCGCTTACTCAGAGATCTTGAGCAAATCACTTAGATTTTAATGCTCTACTTGCTCATCTGTAAAATGAGAGAGTACTTGTGTTCTGAGGGTACCCTCTCCCACAGCCAGTTCTCCAATCTGTTCTAAAAGTCTCTCAAACTGTGTGTTTCCTGAGGGCAAAAGGAATATTTAATTTCTCTTTGAACTATCTCCAGCACTAGCACGTTTGGTGTATCCTCAATTATGAGCCACCTTAATTTGTCCATTGCTTTTGGTTACAAGGTGCCTTAATATAAAGTGCCACAAGATGGCACTATAAATAGGCTTTATCTGCTGGACTCATTTGTTGTTGTAGTTCTCTTTGTCATTTTCACACATTGTTTATTGATGGCTTTTTATAACATATCCATTTAACTTCAGTAGTAAGTATATTAATAGTAAATATATACCCATGTCAATGGCATGGTTCTTTTATTAAAGATTTTAATCTTACCAGATATTTTAGTAAACAATGATCACTTGAGTAAAATAGAGTCTTTATTCCTTTGTATATTCCTGTAAGTTATAGTCTTCTATTCACCATTTTTATTTAGAAACCTACAATATAAATTGTAATTTTCTTGTGTTCCCACCCTGGAAAAACATGACTATGGTATGGTCCCTCTGCCAATTGGCTATAATTATGGGTGGTGCTCTTTAGCTTGGTGCGTGGTGTAATTCAACAGAATGACTACCCTGTTTTGTGAAACACAGGGGCTGCTAGCATTGGAAAGGGACTTGGAGGAATGTTGTTCTCAAGATTTGGACGTTCATCAACGTCACAGCCATCTGAGACATCAAAAGATTCAATGGAAGATGAGAAGAAGCTAGTTGCCTCACCTCCTCCTACCACCATAGCGACACAGACCCTTCCACATAGCAGTTCCGGCTTTCTCGATTCTGCATGTTAGTTCTTACAGTTCTTTCCTTAATTTTATATTATGCCTTTTTAAAACTTGGGGAGGGCAGGGAGATCCTAAGATATTAACACTAGCAATTAACTCTAAGATCCTAAAGTATGCTTAGCTTTTAAAGAAAGTAATTTCCTTCTGTTTACATTTTTAAGAATAATTTCCAAGTAAATGCAGTTTTAGTCTCTGAATTGGTGAATTAATAGTTAGAACATTAATAATCAAAGCACTGTGGCACAGTAGTCTTAAACATCAAGCATAAAACAAATCTCTTTGGGGTAAGTACCCCCTGATTTTTATAAAGTAGATTTTTACTAATATGGTCTTCTCAATCTTAAAAACTCATGTAATTGCTTCAAATCTATGCTCTATCTGGTCTTGAGACTTTTTAAAAACTGCTATGCCAAAGCCTTCCTATTTCTAATCCCACAGTTAGTTTCCTTTGTTCAACCTAATTATAAGACCTTCAAAGCTTAAAAATTTTATTGGATCTTGCTGTATGGCTTCCAGTCCTATCGCAGCTACCTAGTGTGAAGCAGGTATTCAAGAAATGAGTAACTGAATGGATAGTTATGTTGGACTTAACATTATAAGAGACCTTTGCTTAACTTTTTCCAGTGGATTTATAAAGTTTAAAATCTTGAATAGTTATGAAACATTATGACACCTTTTCAAGGGTCTGAACTTGAACATTATTTTTAAGCGTCCAGTAAAATAAAACTAATAAGTCCTATTTTTCCAGTGATACATATAAGGAAATAAAGATTCTAAAACTAGCTACTTCCTTTCTGCAGCTGGTTTCAAACAAGCTAGTTTACAACAAGAGGAAAAGTTTACTTTCTTTCTCTGAAAAGTTTTAAGCAGATTTTGTTACTTGTAGCATTGTGTTATTAACTGTGTCTGCTACTCTAAATTTTAAAAAATCTGACATTCATTGCCATCCATAAAAGTAAAAAAGGAAGTAAGTACAGGTATGACACTCCTAGAGGCTGGATATTTCCTCCACAGTCAGCGCCACTCCAGGAGGAGTATCAGTAAGGATGTTCCTATTTGAGCCAACAGCATTTTTAATTTAATTATCTATGCCAGACTCTTTGAGTACTGAAAATTTTATAATTGCAAATCTTTTGAACTTTGATATTTGTGTAAAACTCATATTTTAGTTTTCCTATGAGTTCTTATATTACTAGTTCCTATACTATTTTTGACCTAAATTTTTCTTTCTACTTAATATCAAAACTAAGATTGTGAAAATACAAAATTCTGTTGTGATATGCAGATATCAGAAGAAAACTTACTTCTGAGAAAAATTAATTTCAAAAGAGTTTTGTAAGGTGGCAAGTAAAAAGTCACAGTTTATTGTAATGTTTTTAATGCACAGCAGTGATATTAGTAAACATTAGGGTGAATAAGGGAGCAGGAAGAGGTGGATAGGATTGAAGCTTCAGAAAAAGGATAATGAAGGCACATATAGATTCTATAGGATCAGAGAGAAGAAAATGTTTATTATACTACTTAACATAGTAATTTCAAAATAGTAATAGAAAAACTTTCAATTTCTTCTTCCAGAACAGCAGTTAGTAGAGGTTATAAGGCTGTATTGAATTATTATATTTTGATAGCTTAACAAAATACATACTGTCATTCTTGCATATAAATTCTTTGATGGTCCAAATAATAAATTTCTTATCAACTAGACTCAACTAAATTTGAGATAATCATATGAGTCTTAGTTACACATATTCATCTCTAGGTATAGAAGTAACTATTAAAATTGGACTATTACTACAATAGGATTCTGCCTTTTAAATCAGATCCCCAAGATTTGCTTTACTAATTATTTGACTTGCTTCAATAATATACTCTTCTCTGTAATCCTGATTTAGACAAATTTCTTATGTCACAATTGCTCTCTTGCCTATATCTTGCAGATCATAAAACTTTTCTTCATTAAACCTTCGTTCTGGAATTTGGTCATTGTGATTCGGTGATTCTGGCTTCCTTCTTTCTACTCACACTAATTGCCTCAGTCCTTCTGGATAACCTTTTCTCTAAAGCTGCCGACTTGGATTCTCTTGCTATTTGAGGGTTAAATGGGACACAGACTTTGAAATCATGATCAATCAATCAGGATTTCTTTCTTGGATGAATAAGTGTTGTCAGTTGAGATCTTTATTTTCATCAAGTTTAAGCATCTTATGTAGCTATTCTTCATTTCTTTTGAAAACCCTAGGCTTCTTTTCAGTGGTCTTACTGTTTCATTTCTTGTCCCCTCCTCTCTTGTTTGTAACATTATGAAAAGAGCTATTTCTTTTAGCATTTTTTTTTTTGCCTCTAGGTTAGAACCTAAATTAGCTATAAATTTGGGGCTATCTGGGTGTTAACATTATGAGAAAGAGCTCCTCACAAAAAACAAGGTGTATACTTCTTGTATGCTAGTTTTAAGCAGCTTACCTGGGAATATTATTCTAACTTTTGGCCACTACATCATTGAAGGCCCTTTTTAACCATCAGCCAGTTTTTTTTTACAGCATCTTGTGTTTTTTTTTCACAGATTTCAGACTTCAGGAATCGTTCTTTAATCTCCCACAACTTCTTTTTCCGGAAAATGTAATGCAGAATAAAGATAATGCCCTCGGTATGGTATATGTCAGGAATAGCATTCAGAATATGATGAAAATGATCTGCTTAGAGTTCTTCTGCTCATTGAAAAATTGGATCAGTTCTATGAGATCAGCTTCAATGTTACCATTACAGACTACTATTTTATATGTATTTTCTTCCCTTATTTTCTAATCTTAAATGTTAGTGGTCCTGAAACCTTAGTATTGATTAGCTACTTAATGTGCTAAAATATATGATATTCCTGCACATTCCTATAGAGAAAGGAACCTTTTAGAGAGAAAAGCATTAGGCCATTTTCTTTTCTCTTTATTGTCCTAAAGACTTCAAAGACTTTCACTGTTCTTTCTCTTCCTGTAACACACTTAGATATAAAAGGGTTTCATAGTACAATGAGTTTAATCATTCTCAGTTATTTCAGGTGTCAGTAACTTCACCACTCAGGCTTACGTTAATAGATATGCCATAACAGATATCTGATTTCACCACAGACATTTAATTTACTTTGGGGAGGGTAGATCCACTTTTTAAAAAAATAGTATTATTGGATGCAAGAGATATTTTCAGTCTCTTTTAGCATATTCTAAATATATCACTAAGGATTAATTTCATCAGTTTAAAATTATTTTTATAACTAACTTCTCGTTCGTTTTTCCATAGCTTCTCTGTTTTCTTTTTTTTAATATATGTATATATATATGCACACACACTAAATTTTTGTCTTTGACAAAAAACATGTTATGATTTTCTTTTAATATTTAGCCACATTAATATTTTAATATTTTAATTTTACAATTTCTTTATTTGATTACCAATTTTCATAGACTGTTTCAATTAAAAAAAAAAAACTCTTACATTACTTGATAGAAGTTCCAAAACAATGTTTTATTATAACAAGCCTGGGCGTTTTTTTGTTTTGTTTTGGGTTTTCTTTTTTTTTTTTCGGTCCATAGCAACAGTTTGTGTTGGTTTAACTCGGTAAATTCCGCTTAAGAAATTATGTAAGTGCTGTCTCTGGTCCCTGCCCATGTTAATAGCCAATTACTTTCATAAAGAAATAATTTTGATTTATACATCTTGCATTTTTAGTTGGAGGAAGGAAAATTAATTTGTTCATATTATTTGTCCTGCAATCAAGTAGCACGTATATCCCCTATCTCAGAACCATCCTAACATCAACAGTTATACCACTAGTGATAACCACACCAAACTGATTTAGATGGTAATATCTATATGGCTTCTATTTTCTCTTTTCCTGCTTGTATTCACTCAGCAATTATTTGTTAAATGTTTATCATGAGCCAAGAGACCATGGTAGTTACTAAAAAAGACACCAAGATGAAACAGACTTCAATACTGCCTATAAAGATGCTAGTATGAAAATGAAGTAATTTCTAGAGAGCTTACATTCTAGAAGGGAAGGTAGGTAACTGCATAAATAATTATAATAATATGTGGTAGAACGTAATGAGCCACTTAACAGAGGTACAGTAAAGGACTGTCAGTTCTAAGGAATAAGAAATTGCTTTCAGCTGGATAAATCATAAAAGACTTTGTTGAAGAAGTAGGGCATGCAGGATTTGGACATTGCAGGGAGAAGAAACAGCATGAGCAGAACCACAGAGGTGGGAAGCATGGGGTATGTAGAGAACTGTAATTTAGTTTTCTTGAGAAGAACCAAGGATGATTAGAAGGGAGAAGTTCTGAATATAATTGGAAAAATTTGTTAAACCTGATTGTAAAGAGTCCAACAAATCAACAAATCTGGCCATTCATTTCTTGGAGTTTATGGTATGCCAGAGTTACTCACATAGCCTGATTATTGTCAAATGTTAGGTATTTGAATGTCTTCAGGATAAATTAGTTGGGAAAATGTTTCTTAGGAAACATGACAACTGATTATAAAACTCATTTTAGAATTTTTGTTATTTTTTAAAAATAAAGGATGGCTTGAGAATATTCTTAAATATATTTGAAACTATAATAATTCACAAAATGTAAATATTCCTTGAATGTCAAACACCCACATGAAATGTACAGTTCTGAGCAGCAAGACATAACCTGCCAATAAGAACTTTAAACATAATCTTTCTTATGGTCAGTGAATCTTTCACCAGTCATTTGGAAGCACAGAGTATCTTTGCTAGTACTTTAATTATTTTTCTTGTTGTCCACTGGAGCCAAATATGCAATTATGGCCACAATTTATTATATACAAATAAGATAGCATTTAGGATTTATTAAATTTTTGAAAATTTCTCCCCAGAGAAGTTGAGATATTTCCATTAAATAATAGAAATCTGTCCAGTTAGTACACATTGTAATTCAAAGATGCTTACTTTCTATTCATATATATTTTTTAAATTGTATATCCATGTTGACAAGCCTTGTGCACAAAAGAATTCTTTGATGAAAGCACAGTGTTTATAACACTGTACCTTTACACTGTGGAGGTTCCTTGAGTGTCAGACACTTAACCACATGAAATGTATTATAGCAGACATTCTACTTTGGGGAATTTGGAAGGAAATATGCCCATATGTGACTCCCCAGAAAGAAAATAATCCATGTTTTTAAACCTTGTAAGCAAAGAGCTGGTGATTATTAATATTTAAAACCACAGTTTCTTTTCTCATTTTTACTTCTCTTCTGTTCAGGAACCTGATTTCTTTTCTTCATGGATAGAGGAATTCTAGCACTGAGTCATTCAACAGAGAGAAGGAAGAAAAAGTGATGATTTTATGTTCTTCTTTTTCTTTGACCTAACTCAGCTAGAGAAACTAGGAAAAAACTACCAACCCCTGTAGTACCACCCATTCTTGATATGGTAATTATGAGAGAGTAAGTCCAAGGCAACTCCATGTAGATTTGAACCCACTTTGGCCAAGAGCAGATCTCATAGCACATACAGAATAGTGCTGCCATGTAGAACTTCACTCCCTTGGAAGTTCTGTGTTCTACTTGAAAGGGATAGAAAAGATGGGACATAGGCACACCTAGTTCCATCCATCCACCTACATAATCAACATGCATGTGAGGTCAACTGCACCAACAGCCAGACTGGGATAAACCTTTTGAGGAGGATGAGAGACTAAAATAGGAATGCAAACTGACCACCTAATTCCCATTTTGAAGGACACAACCTGAAGATAAATAGAAAAGGACAGTGGGAGCAACTCTAGTTAGTAGCACTGATTAAAGTCCCTGCAGTTGATAAGAACAAGGGCACATAATATGATAGGACAATAATTAAACATTTGAGTGTCTACCACCTGAAAGATGGTATTATAAGATAGTTATAGCAGGCCAGGTGCAGCAGCTCACACCTATAATCCTAGCACTCTGGGAGGCCGAGGCAGGCGGATTGCTCAAGGTCAGTAGTTCGAAACCAGCTTGAGCAAGAGCAAGACCCCATCTCTACTGAAAATAGAAAGAAATTAATTGGCTAACTAAAAATGTATAGAAAAAATTAGCCAGGCATGGTGGCACATGCCTGTAGTCCCAGATACTCGGGAGGCTGAGGCAGAAGGATTGCCCATACCCAGGAGTTTGAGGTTGCTGTGAGCTAAGCTGATACCACAGCACTCTAGCCCGGGCAACAGAGTTAGACTATGTCTCAAAAAAAAAGATAGTAATGGCATATTAAGATTAATTTCAGGGACATAAAATCAAAGGTGGGGAGCCAAATAACACCTGTTATAACAGGAAAAAAATGTCCCTTTCTTTGACTTTAAAACAATTTCAGCTGAAGACTGTTGGACTAGGAAGACATTATGCTGTAGCATTTGAAAGTAAATTCTTAGAAATTATAACTTTGTGATCTTCACCAATGTTAACACGTATGTTTCCCATCTCTTCTGTTTTTCATCTTCTTTTTTCTTTGTAATTAACTTCACCTTGACCTCTCTTGATTGTGCTTGAAAATTCCAGTTTCCTCTTCTTTTTTTGTCTTCCGATCTGTTGTGCCGGAATGTAATGTACCTATAAATCTAACACAAATGCTTCATGGAATACAAAAGATAAAACATCAGGACATTACTGCCTCACAGGTCCACACATGGATTTCAGCTGTTTCTGTCTTGTTATGGATTAGTCCATAGTAATTTAATTGAAAAAAAAAAAAAACACTCCTTGTTAGAAAAGCATGATTGAATAGAAAAATAACAATGATATAAGCATTTTTAAATTACCAAATGATATTGTCACAAAATACCTATTTAAAACAAGCATTAACTAAGCATTTATATGAAATCTCTTCCTAGAGTGTTATGATTTCCTATGTGTGATTACCAATTCCCAGTGTAAAGCAAAAGCCAATTTTTTCTCTAACCTCCTTAATTTTTGCCAACTTTACTGTTAACATCCTTTGGTATTCTGAATGAAAAGCAGACTTTAAGTGTCTTGAGTGGTAGTGATTTGAGTGGCTTTGTTTTTGTTTGTAAGATAGATCTTTCAAAATACTGTATAGTTCATTGACAGTTTTAAAGAAGTTCCTGAAGATCAAAATGTCATTCTTTACATGTTTATCTCTAAGGATTTTTTAGATGAATCCATTGAAATCTCTTAGAGCCTTGATTTGTTAAGGTGATTTTTCTCTAAAAGGTATTACAAGACTTTCTATGGGTTTTAGAAAAAGATTTGATTGAATTCACAAAATTGTTCGAGGATAGCACTGTTGTAAGCAAAGTCCTTCCTCCCAAGAATCACCACTGTTCCTCCCAGTTGAACTTTCCCAGCCACCCAGGAGGTTCTTCTCTTGTTGAATAAACATTTTAATGAACACTTGTATGTCCCAGGTGCATGTTAGACCCTGCTGACTATAAGGAGATTAGGTTTGTGGGGGTTGCCTTTGAGGAATTCAACCTATTGGGGGAAAAAGCATTCTAGGACTGTAAAAAGATGGTTATCTTCTAACATAGCCCCCACAGGACCAGCTGACACAGGGCGCCTACCTAGTCTAGGAGCCATTGAGTGAACTGTCGCACTCCCACAGGCATTATTGCATGCAAGCGTGGCCCATCATTCTTTGAGGGGGATGTTTTCCTTATTTTATAGATTAGACATAAAGATTAAGAGATAATGTTAAGTTTTGAACATAGTTTGTTTTACTCCAAAAATACTCTATGATACCCAGTGAACTTTTGTTTTCTTCCTTTATTATTACATATTGACTTCAGCATACAAAGGAAAGGATTCCACCAAATAGAATCGTGAGCTACTGAGGCTCTTGTGTTTTTCCCTTAAGATAGTGAAAAGTAACCAAAAAAAGACAAGTAGAGAATCACTTCTGCTATCTAAATTTTTACTGTCAATGCTAGTGAGTCTATATAGAACATGTCTTATTGTAATCCATATTCATTTGTTTAACTTCTTTTCTTTTTAGTGGAGTTGGATCACAGGATTGATTTTGAACTCAGAGAAGGCCTCGTGGAGAGCCGCTATTGGTCAGCTGTCACGTCGCACACTGCCTACTGGTCATCCTTGGATGTTGCCCTCTTTCTTTTAACCTTCATGTACAAACATGAGCACGATAATGATGCAAAACCCAATTTAGATCCAATCTGAACTCGTGACGGACATTAATGGCCCAAAACTGATTTTTTTTTTCTGTTAAAATGTGTGTGTCAAGTTATGGAGATTTCGGGGTTAAGTATGTTTCAGTTTTGTTTAGGGCAAGAAATATTTTGAATTTAAAAGCACTTTATTTTATTTAAAAAAAAAAGAAAACATGTTTTCAGTCCTAAAGAAGTTATTTACAGTTTCCATCATTTTGATTATGAGTCTGACAGCCCCCTGCAGAGAATCAAGCAAGCCTGGAAGGAAGGAAGTTTTAGGTGAACTACATGTAAAGGCTATGAATCACAATCTAACTTCTCCCAAATATAAAAGCATATTAATGAGTTGAATCTAATGTATTAACCAAAATATGTTATAAATTGAAAATGGTCAAGTTTATTCTATGTAAAGATCACAAGGTGGTATCATTGTTTTAGATTTCTATGAAAGCTTCCATTTCCACATCCTTTTGAAAGAAGAATAGAACAGATTTAAAATGTTTTCAGTTTAACTTGTTTAGAAAACTAATGCTAAAGAAGAAACAATATTTGAACTACTGTATAATTTATTGCCTCTGACCAATTGCTTTATTTCAGTGTATAAAACATTACATTTTTAATATAATTTAAGAACCACATTTATTTTCTATACTGTTACAACCCTCTTTTCTCAGAACTCCATCTTTGTACTCTTCAGATGAATATATAGACACTGTGGCATACTTGCAGTATTTTTTTTTCATTAAAAACTTGAGGTTTCACACAAATAATGCTAGTTCAATTTTTTTAATGAAGTTTTTATTGTCACAAGTACCTCAGAGAAAGCTAAAGTTTTTCTAAACTTGACACATAGTACTCCATAATGGGTACATTTCATTAACTTTAATAGAAAATTATTGAATGTCTTAATAGGGAGTATGACACCTGTTTTAAATGTATAAACATTTGTGTGCCAAACAACATATGTGAAGGGATGGAATGCCACTAACAAATTTTATTTTTAAAGTGCTTGAAAAACCACTGACATACAAGGCACAATAAGTCAGGATTCTGAGGCACTGGAAGGGTTTTCCTCAGCTAGAATTGTTTCCACAGTGCTGTTCATCTGAGGGGCTCAAAGTATAAGAGGGGTACATTCAATAATCTACGTAGTAGCTCCTTGAGGTAAGTAAAATAGTGTTATTCTCCGGTTAGATGTTAATACACCAAGGCACCAAAGCATTTAAAGTGCCTTGCATTAGATTACATAGCAAATTAGAAAAGCTTGGATTGAATCCAAACGACTCTTTTATATACTGTTCAGTGAATTTATTCACATATGACCTCCTAGTACTTTGCAAATAATAACAGAAGTTGCAATTCATAATTTGGAAAATGACCGTGAAGCCAGTATGTTACCCTGCTTGACTTCCACATTCTTGGATTTGCACACACAAAGGAGGAGTTACATACAGGTGATCAGTAGCCATCTCTGCCACACCCAGCCCTCACTTTTGAGTGGTTTCCACTAAGCTCCACTTATGGTGCTGTCTTTGCTTATCCTGCAAGGAATTTCTTAGCTTCCCAGTAATTCTTGTCAAACTGGGAGCAAAGTTGGCCAGTTGTGTATCTCACCTACTCCTTTCTTTGTAAGATACTGGGGTCAGTGGCTTACTCATAGGTTTTACTGAGCACCATTAGTACTGTTGGCTATTTTGGCCTCTCATTGAATTTGCACAACGTAAAGCACTTCTTTTTAGTGTTTAAAAAAATCCCAAGACTCCGTGACCAAGTACGTGACTAATCATTAAAAAACCCTTGCTATAAAAGGCTTTTGACGCAATCTCAGCAAAGCTGAAGCAATCTCTTGAATTTAGAGATTCCTATGAACTCAGGTCATTTTCATAGCCTGTTTATTTTGTAGGTCTAATTTAGTTCTCAGGAAATTTAAACTCACATTATATGACTATATCATTAAAGGTACTTGAGCATATGTTGCTGTAGGTGGTGTGACACTCAAATAACGTAAGACCTTTAAGGGATTCATTCTTAACCACTGGATTGTGAAGAGCCCTTTTTACCTGAGAAGAGTGAAATTCATGTCAAACTTTAATTTGTTATCATTGAGGAAAAAGAAAAATATGTTCCCATTGCCATAGGAAATTGTCTGCTTCCTTTTTTTATTTCCAAATATGGAGAAAACAAAGTCAAATTTAACCACTTTGAGTTTATTTGAATTCTTGGAAAAAACAATATTCAAAACCCCTTTTCAAAATAAGATGTTCTGGATTACTGGACAGGTATTTTGTTTTTAATTCATTATTTCATCAGTAGAGATGGTGATTTTGGTTTTATAGTATCTTTGTTTCTATGTCTCTGCATGTTATCATGGGATGTACTTGTATATACTCATTAATATACAGAGTATGTGAAATTCTGGCTTGATTTAGAAGCTAAATCAGTTACTGAGTAACATTTTGCAACTTTATTCCAGCAATTACTAAATTGGCCAAAAATTTTGTTTTTGATACCATTAAAATTTTATTCTCTATTTTGTGTACATGCTATTATGATTCTGAGTACTTTTCAGATCATTCAACTTTAATCCAGTTAAGTTCCCAAGTTATTGAAAATGAGAATAAGGAGAATTTCTTGGATTAAATCTTGCTTTATTTTTACTTTAAAATTAGCCTTGCCTAAGGCCTTCTGTTCATAACTTTATTTTCAGCAGTAATTTTGCTCATAGTAAATGTTACTGTATTTTAAAACATAATTACAAAATATACTGGGTTTTTCAAGAACTACTCTTTTATTATGTGAAGCAAGCCTTAGGAATCTTATGTTTTACTTCTTGCTATTAAACAGCATCTGTTAGCTTTGTTAAATGCTCACACTGAACATGCTTTATACTGACTACTCACATTGAAGTTCTCAGACAGAGACATGTCTGACATTCATTCATCCTCAGTCCCTTTTTCTTTTCCTTATTGGGAGCTGAAGCATCCTGTATATGTAATGCATTTAACACACCATATCCCAACATTGCATCCCCCAAAGAGTAAACAGAAGGAAGAGAAGTGGTTACTCCAGTATCAAAGCTAGTGCCACTATTCATTCCAATGAGAGTACCTGCACCCCTTGTGGTGAGTCAAACCAAGCCAAGAGATTTTACTATAAGGTCTGTAGTAAGAGAAGACAAGTAATTTTCATCAACTAATAGATATTTCGTCTTCTCAGTTACTAATGAGTAAGGCATTTGGACAATTGAGAAAACTAAGTGTATGTATTAAAATTGGTTTTAGATAATATTTCGTTGTTATGGAAATGGGGCTAAAGAAGAAACATTAAAAATCACAGCAGAGCAAAAAGAATGTAGCAATCATTTGCAGGAAAAAGAAACTAGAATTTTACTAAACTGAGTGTTGGGGAGTTGAGCTCTGTGGTTATTCTCAAGTGTTCTCTCTTATCTGTATGCTGCTGTCATCTCTGCACTTCAGGCCTCTGCCAGAAATCTGTTCTCTGAATTTGAAACACATAAATCTCATCTTGAAGGTCTCATTAGTGAATGTTAGTGCTGAGATGGTGACAGCTGTTTTAGTCCTGTTTAGATGTTTGTGGTAATTTTCAAAGAACCCTAAAATTTCAGGGTTTGTGTAGATTTTAGGGGTCATCTAGTCCCACCCTAGACTAGTATCATGTAAGCATTGAAACAGCAGTAAAGGTCATGAAAAGTAAAGTGAGGGACTGCAGACTCAACGAAAGACTGATTACAGTGACAAAGGGGGGAGCTGGGGAAGTCTCTAAGGACAAATAGTAGAATTTTAAAGCTGGAAGGTGTGGAGAGAGCTTTCTTTCCCAAAGCATGTTCTGCAAATGTTAACAGGTGTTGTGTCAGAAAACAGGTTTGGGAAATTCCAAATTTAAAAGGTTCCTTTACAGCAGGGCTTTGGAAGCTTTTGCTACGCTAAATGCATTATGAATATATCTGGTGCTGCAAAGGGGTTCCAAATTTATTTAACCATTTTTTATTTGGAATATACTTAGAGAAATACTATCACTTTTAATACCTTCATTATACAGAGTTTCATTCCCTCATGTGATTCCTTCATTTTATAAGTGACCACTTTCACTCTGTACGATCACATGGCCAACCAATGTTGTAGTCAGAATTAAAACCTAGTCCACTGATTCCAACTATGTCATACCAAGCTCAGTTTCCCCTAATCAATAGTGAACTCCTCCTAAAGGGCAGAAACTCCTCTCTTGGTTTTTGCACCCCCCCCCCAATCACCCCTGCACACACACCCTTTGTGTAACCAGATGCTTTACTCACAGCAAGCTGTTGACAAATGTCTGTAGGCTTGAGTTCCCCAGTTGTTCCTTGTTCTCCAGGCCCTCATGAAAGAATGCCGTAGCAGCCCTCGACAGACTTCCTTTCATGTCTCAGATTCAAAATTCCCAGGAAAAAGAAAAACAAAGAAATCCAAAACAACAAAAAGAAAATTAAAGCCAGGTGCGGTGGTGAGTGCCTATAGTCCCAGCTAGAAGGCTAAGGCAGGAGGATCACTTGATCCCAGGAGTTCGAGGCTTCAGTGAGCTATGATCATGCAAAGAAAAAATTAAGAAAATATCCAGGAAAGATTTTTATTTTGTATTCTGATGACAAATGCAAACTTACTAAGGAAACAAGTTGCACAGTGTTAATGTTTAACATTCCTTTTCGTAGTGTTTATATGTTTGCCTTTTATCAATTCATGACAAATACATCACTTTGAAAACTGTTTCAACATAGGTGAACCCATAGAAATTTAAAATTTTAAGTACTATATATTTTAGAGACTAGAAGAGTTCTTACTGTTTGTGTGTGTGTGTGTGTGTATGCACGCACACGTGTGTATGTGTGTTTTCCCCAAAAATAGTTCCTTGGCAGATTTTTAGCACGAACTTTTCCTATGCCTTTGTGTTTGAGTAGGGGCGGGTGCATGCTTAGCATTGTCTGTAACCTTATGGTTTTTCATTTATGCATAACAGGGTGCAACTTGCTTCCTCCCCACCCTGCAGTTGTCAGGATATGTTGGGAAGTGTTCTTTAGGGAGTTTATATCTGGTCTTCTGTTGTAGTAAGATGGAAAACAAGTATGTTAACACTTCACCTTTAATGCTTTCTCCTGGAAGACATCTAATGTCTAGGAGCATCACTTACTCCTTCCCTGGACTACACCCACTACCAAATCTGCTTGATCTCTAAAAATATTTGGTTCCTTGTGATACTTGAAAAGTATAACCCATTTTCTGGTTGCGAGGCTGTCATAATAATCCTAAACTCAGCCAGTGAGAGTCTGGAGAGTTTTTTGCTTCTTGCTCACAGGTAAATGTCTCAGAAGCGACTAGCACTGTGCCTCTCCTGAGGTCCTTAATCTGCTTGCTTGCTTTCAGCGCCTGTGAACTCCTCTTCTGTTCACACTCCCTAACATTACTAATGCTGTCAACGACTACAGTAACAACCTTTAGAAGGCAGCCTTTTTCTTTTTCCTTTTCTTTATTACCTCTCTCATTTTCAATAGCCAAGGCAGATTAATTTTCTCAGAATCTTCAATTACTCTGAAGCATGCTTTAGTCCTGTTTTATCTCAGCAGTGATCAGTTTGGATGACAGAAAACTCAAAACTTTTATTCTAGCATTGTCCAGTCCTGATTTTTCTCAGCTGGAACTAGTGGATGCACATTTAATAATTTCAGAGAAGTGAGAGGTAAATGTGTTTTCTCTAGGATTGCACTCCATTTCTCTAGCTGAATTGATCTATTCAAAATCTTGCTCACCAGGAACAAGTAGTTGTGTCCTATAGTGAACAGTCTCAAAAACCAGATTGTTCTAAGCATTCTTTGGAACATAATCTTCCCGATCCTATAGTTTGTGGTAACTCTCCCAAAAAGTTTATGAAAATTGAAAGAGTAAAATTTATTCATCAGCTATGGCTACCACACCCCTGTTTTGCCAGGAAGATTGATCACAGCTCCCTCAAGCCCATCAGAGGATAAGTACATATATAAGAAAAGATTGGCACATTCTGATATTATAAATGATGGTCTATTCACAACTTCTCAGTCCAGGGTTCAGAAGATGACCAGAGTTCTCGGGTTTTCAGTCTAACCCCACGAACCCATGAAAATTGGGACCAGCTACTACTACGGTTCCACTCACCTGCCCTTCCCCACCCTTGGTGCCAAAGTGACTAATAAGTAGTTTTAGATGTTGTCTTAAGAGTCCGGGAATTTCAGTGATGGACAAAAGTAATTCCCTGAGGTAGTATCGATCTTAGGTTGAGAAATAAATGGCCAAGATACAGGGAGTGCATGTAGAATTAAGATGAGAAAGTGTGTGGACTGTTAGGAGAATTAAAAGGTGTGGGGAAGAGAAAAGACTGGTACGTGGTCACAACAGTCCGACAGCTTAGACATTTCAGAAAAGTTAGCCAGAGGCAATGTTCCTGAGAAAGTGGGGATAGAGTCCCATAGGTCTAATGACAACATTCCCTCAGCTGAAGCCCTATCATTCAAGGCTCCCCACAACCTAGCCCAGCCTGACTCTCCTGCCTCATCTTCTGCCTGTCTTTAGCAATCAAACTGTATTTTTTTTTACAGCAACTACATGCCATTTGTCTAAAAGTACTTACATTTTAGTTACTGTGATGGGTACGTGTTTTTTTGTTTGTTTTGTCTGCGCAGCATTTTATTTCCCCTCCTTTTGGGTCTTCTCTTAGCCAATTCCATAAATCTTAAAGCCTTTGCCACTCCTGGTTAAAATTATTTTTGCTTTGTATAAGTCCCTGTTAACACTAACAGCTCAGTCATGGCACTGTCTATACCATGCCCAGGGGATGAGTACATGACTCAGGTAAGAGTTTATTTCCCACCCATGAGTCGCAGTGATTAGCTGGGAGATAGGCACATGACCCAGATAGACAGAGCAAAGCCTTCCGTGGGATTTTATTTGCTGTCCCTGAAATTCAGATAGCCTTCTATGGCTGTTAAACAATCCAGTGGCACCTGATGTGATACGAGCATGGAGCCTCTTGTGGCTAAACTCCATCTGTTCTTGTGACATAAATAATGTATATCTGCCATGGAAAAGAAGAAAGCCTACACGCACGAGATGGGCCAAGAGTTCTGGAGAACTGAGGCAAGTGTCACCTCCAGCTTTCCCAGCTGTACTTTTATTTGTTTAGGTTATTATGAGATGGGTCTCCATTTCTTGGATACAAAAGATTTGAAACTCATAATCATTTAACCAAAAATAACCTCTGCATTCCTAATAGGAATTGTCTTTGAGGACAATGTCTTGTGAAGCCTTTCTCAATTCCTTAGTTGAAGTTAATTACTGCTTGTGAGCCCCCATTAATAATATGTTTCTCCAGCTGGGTGCGGTGGCTCACACCTGTAATCCTAGCACTCTGGGAGGCCAAAGTGGGTGGATCGCTCAAGGTCATGAGTTTGAAACCAGCCTGAGCAAGAGTGAGAGCCCCGTCTATACTAAAAATAGAAATTAATTGGCC